TGCTTTGAGTTTACATATATTATTCACATAGACACTTAGTGCTGTTACTTTGTTTACATATATTATTCACATAGACACTTAGTGCTGTTGCTTTGTTTACATATATTATTCACATAGACACTTAGTGCTGTTGCTTTGATGACTCAACTCACTTGTGCCTTCTCAAAGCTACATACTCCTTGTTGACCATGACGGTCAAAGAAATATCCCGAGTTAGGTTATTAATAAGATATTTGGTATTGCATCCAAAACATTACTTCCAGAATAAGATTATTTCTAGATGAGGATGTTTTCCTCACTTCCTAAACTGACAGTTTTCTTTTGTTATGTATTCTCTGATAAATAAATCTTGAATGTTTTTCAAGTTATTAGCTTTTATTCTACTCTCAATTATCTGATGGTCAATCAGATGTAGATTCTTTGTGAAAATTTTCCTATTTCCATTTCATTTTGGGGTGTTTCAATTCATAAATTTCTGATTTACAAAATGCTTGACTTGTTGATGAAAGTTTATTAAAATGCAGAATACTGACAGCAGTTTCCCTGCCTACTGAATTCTCTGACATACAGTGTTTCTCATACCTTCATTAGATTCACGATGTGTATGAGATGAGGGATCGCTAGGATATACCATGACAACAAAAAACCCTAAATGTGTAATGGCTGAACAAATCCGAAATTAATTTCTGGTTCATGACAAAACTTACAAGTGATGTTAGAGAAGGCAGAACTCTGCACAGGACCCTGGTTTCTTCTAACCTGTGACTCTGTAATCTCTAATGACTAGCTCCCAAGTTATCCTGAGGATGATCTCAATTACCCTTTGATAAGGAAAGAAAAATGGGAGTAGGAAAAATTCCAAATGAGGTCCTTTACAGGCTTGGAATTTGTTTCAGAGGTCATATGGCCTCATGTGAATGGAAGAAAAGCTAGAAAATCTTGACTAGTTGTGTAACCACAAAGAGAAATGTGTATTAGGAAAAACAGCAAGTTTCTGCCACAGAGTTTCTACCCTATGTGAATTCCTTGATGATGAGTAAGCGCTGATTTCCGGCCAAAAGTTTTTCCACATTCACAACATTTATAAGGTTTCTCTCCTGAGTGAATTCTCAGATGGGTAGTGAGGGTAGATTTATGACGAAAACTCTTCCCACATTCATTACATTCAAAGGGCTTTTCCCCTGTGTGAGTTCTCTGATGATTAATAAGAGTCGACTTTGTAAGAAAAGCTTTCTGACATTCATGACACTGAAAGGGTTTCTCTCCTGTGTGAGTTCTCTGATGTACATTAATGGCTGACAGATGACGGTAAGTTTTACCACATACATTACATTGAAAGGGTCTATCTCCTGTGTGAGTTCTCTGATGTTGAGTGAGGGCTGACTTCTGGCAGAAGGTTCTCCTACATTCATTACATTCATAGGGCTTTTCCCCCGTGTGAGTTCTCTCATGTCGAGTGAGGGATGACTTCTCATAAAAGGATTTCCCACATTCATTACATTTATAAGGTTTCTCTCCTGTGTGAATTCTCTGATGTGCGTTAACATCTGACTGCCGATAGAAAGTTTTCCCACACTCATTACATTGAAAGGGCTTCTCTCCTGTGTGAGTTCTCTGATGAACATTAACTTCTGACTGCCGATAGAAAGTTTTACCACATTCGTTACATTGAAAGCGTTTCTCTCCTGTGTGAGTTCTCTGATGCACATTAACGTCTGCCTGCCGATAGAAAGTTTTCCCACATTCATTACATTGAAAGGGTTTCTGTCCTGTGTGAATCCTCTGATGTGCATTAACGTCTGACTGCCGATAGAAAGTTTTACCACATTCATTACACTGAAAGCGTTTCTCTCCTGTGTGAGTTCTCTGATGCACATTAACATCTGACTGCCGATGGAAAGATTTACCACATTCATTACATTGAAAGGGTTTCTCTCCTGTGTGAGTTCTTTGATGTGCATGAACGTCTGACTGCCAATAGAAAGTTTTACCGCATTCATTACATTGAAAGCGTTTCTCTCCTGTGTGGATTCTCTGATGTGCATTAACATCTGCCTGCCGATAGAAAGTTTTATCACATTTACTACACTGAAAGGGTTTCTCTCCTGTGTGAATTCTCTGATGTAGCTTAATGTCTGACTGCCAATGGAAAGTTTTGCCGCATTCATTACATTGGAAGCGCTTCTCTCCTTTGTGAATTCTCTGATGTACCTTAATGTCTGACTGGCGACGGAAAGTCTTCCTGAGTTCATTACATTGGAAGTGTTTCTCTCTTGTATGAGTTCTCTGATGTTGAGTGAAGGCTGACTGCTTGCAGAAAGTTTTTCCACATTCATTACATTCATGAGGTTTCCCCCCTGTATATGTTCCCTCATGTCGAGTGAGAGATGACTTCTTACAAAAGGACTTCCCACATTCACTACATTTATAAAGTTTCTCCCCTGTATGTGTTATCTGATGGTCTGTGAGGGGTGATTTGTGACTTGTTTTCCCACATGAGTTAAATTCATGGGGTTTTTCTCCTGTGTGTGTTCTCTGATGCACTGTGAAGTTTGACTTGTAGTTGAATGTTTTCCCACATTCACTACATTTGAATAGACACTCACGTCTCTGTTTTTTCTGAACTTTAGTGAAATGTGACATCCTGCTGAAATTATTTTCAATCTGATTGCCTTTGCATTGTTTTATTTCGAAGGAGACCCCATGACATTTCAAGAGAGATGCCCTCTCACAGGTTTCTCCATGTCCATTATATTCACAGATTTTCTCTCCTGTGTCAATTTGCCTGTGTGGAATTACTGTGATCTTTTTTCCTAAGGACTTTCCACCATCATATTTTAAAGTCTTCTCTGAAGACTGACTATTTACGTGCTCAATAATACCATTCTTATGACCAAGGGCTTTCTCATATTGATTATTTTCATGAGAAATCTCTTGAGTATGAGGTTTATCCTGCTTAATATCAAGTAGTTTCTCATATACATTTAACATGGGAGGCTTTTTTCTTGAAGAATTTCTCTTACTACCAATTGATATTAAAATATTTTTCAAGTTCATTCCATGTAAGTCTTGTTTACAGGGCATTTTTCTTGAAGGAATAAACTTTGTACTCATATTAGATGATTTTCTTAAAGCATAAACTTTCTCTGAAGTCACTGTTTTGTTGTTTAATAAAACTTGTGGCAAATATTTGTCTTGGTTTTTCTGGATTCTCTCTGTTAGGTAAGCTTTGCTGTCTTCTAGAAATGAAAACATTGAACAAACCATAAGAATTTTACAGTTCCAATGGAACTGGATTAACATACAAATGTTCTATTATATATTTGACTTTTGGTTTCAGTAGTACTTCAGGATCAAAGTGCCTTTTTCCCACCCAGTTCAAGAAAATATATGTGGAAAAAGAAAGAAAATGAAGATATAAATTCAAGAAGCAATGAAGAGAGGATGGAAGAGTCTACAGGAGTGACAGATCCAGGTATGAGAAAAATCACAGAAAATAAGATGGGTCCAACTGAGCTAATGAAAAGTAATTGAAATCACAAGAAAAATGAGTAGACAAAGGTGTTCATGGAGAAAAAAGAGACATTAAGGAGACAGACTAGGTCTAATACTCTCAAATCTATGTTGTTTTAGTAACACCCAAACAAGTTTTCATGCTTCCAGTTGAATTTCCCTCCTACACAATAGAAAGATAAATTTCTGAATGCACCAATGGCTTTATGTTCAAGGAAAAGAGTCATCAGACTGTACTCTAATTCCCCTCCCAACAGGAATGCCAATGTCCCTAAATAAAGTATAAGATAATGACAAAATAAGTAATCTTGTGCCAACATAGATCTGATGTATCACCCTATTTTGGCTTTGATACTTTCATATTGCTCTACTATAGCCACTAAACAGGTGAACCTACCATGGTAATCACATTTGTGTTCACTTCCTTTTCCATAAAATAGCATTACCAGTGCAAAAATACTAATACTTAATTTTGGTTTATCTTTCACATTTCACATTTCCACATTTCAGGTTTCTGTTTTTATCAAAATTTAAGGATCATATATTTCCAACCAAATCCCAGGAAATGAGTAACATTTATGTTGATTTACCATTTAAAAAATATTGTCCACATTTGCTACCCAGTGCAACGAAGTCTATCCCAAGCTAAAAAACCACAGCGAACAAAATTTACGCCAACTAAATGCACATCAGATTTCAAGCTGCCATTCTACAACTCCCCAGTCAATATCCTCTGCACCAGTTTAGTCAGTTGTCTCATTAAATTACTCATTCTTGACTACAAAGTCAAAGTGCATTCTCTCTCATCCAAGGCTAGAATGTAGGCTATTCAGTATCGAGAAAAATGACATAACACCACCATTATTCCAAATCTTCAAGAATGCCTTTTCAAATCTTCCTACTTTCAAGACTTTCAAACTTATATTCACTCTAAATCTAAAAGTAGACGAGCTGTTTTAACACAACCATAAATAGCACTGCTTTGTAATATATACTGCACTTCATCTAATGTAATATATGCGTATTAAACATTCTAAAATCAGAATGCATCTTATAATTGATAAAAGATCTGTGATAAGCAGGTCACAATATAATGAGCAGAATATTTTTTCCTTAGGGGTTCATCACATAATGGTTTAGTTACAATCTATGGCTTCTTAGATTTGAGAGAATGACAATTTTCTTCTTAATTAAATGCTGCATTTAAAGTGGTAATGCAATTTTATTCTCATTCTTCAATCCAGATGATGGCAAACTTTTCCTTAAAAGGCAAAATAGTACACATTCTAGGTTTTGCCAGCCATACCTGTCTGTCACAATATTAAACTGCTATTAGAGCATGAAATTGGCCAAAGCCCGTATGTTAACAAAGGAGTATGGTTGTGTTGCAAAAACATTTTATTTACAAAAACATGTGGTAGGTCTGCAGACCATACTTTATAACCACTGCTCATAACAGGGTGTTGTTAAGTCTGATTTTCTGTGAACCTGAGTAATTTAAATCAGTAGACTTCAGCACGCTAGGTGTATGAGCATTACCTGGAGAGCTTTTTCAAACACAAATGTTTAGACACTATGCCGTTTTATTCCTCAATCAAGAATTACAGGTTCATTTAAGCAATCAGACAGAGATCCTTCACAATGTTTTCAGAATATGAAGTTTTTCCTCTCCTTGATTTCAATCAACATGTGTTTATCAAATGTCTATTTCAGGTTATATACCAAAGTAAGAAAGAATAACACGATCGCCATTTTCTTTGTTAGATCATACCCCAAGTGTGAAAAACGGTAGATATTATCAGGTAACAGATCATTTAATTTTGTTTCTTCTGAAAGACCCACGGCATACTGAACAGAGAGAAAGAAGAGATTACACTGGCTCAAACATTCGAAGGCTCTTTCTTGGAAGCAGATACACTTAACTTGTACTATAAGGACGTTCAATATAATAACAGTAAAAACTGTTTTACTTACATACTAAAAAATGTTCTGAGTAATTTTCACTTATTAACTCATTTAGTATCCAGTCAGGGAAAGCAAGAAAGGTGTGACATGGGAAAGCATACAGTATGCCTGACATTTGATGCGAGTGGATCTAATGATGTTTAGCCTGAGTGTAAACAACATAAAAATAAAATTGGAGCAGCCAAGTAAGGCAGAATGCAGTAGCCAATAAAAGGCAAGTTAATTTAAATTTCATGAAATAAATAATAGGGGGAGCATAGATTTATCTTCTCAGGCTACTGAAAAAAAGACATTTCTAGGCAAACAAAAACACAAAATTACCACCATCAAGAACAAAACAATTCTCACAACTACAATTAGGAATGGGGAAAAAATAAAAGCATGAGCGAATATAGTTCTTACTCATATTGACGTAAAGCAAGAACGTGAAAAATATTAGAAGTTTAAAAAGAAAAAAATACTCAAGAATACAAAAGAAAAAGAAATAGTTTGTGACGTGTGCTTAATAATTTTGTTACCAATTTCTGGGTTTATCAGACTATAACTAGGGAATGTCTTATTTCCTACTCCGTAGGATTTACCAAGGGTTTCCTTTTAGCATCAAATACACTTCCACTTGTTTGCAAATGTTTTTTAGGCACTAAAATAGGTCTTTTTCCCATTTTTTCTTTTTAGGTACCAACAGAAGGATAATTGTAAAATTAAGGAGACTGTACTTTTGTTACATTTATCTGATAAATATGAACTTGTAATCCTATTAATCCATAGGTAATTTGTTTAAATAGTATCAAGTACTACTATATAACACATTAACACTGAAAACATTGTTTCCTCCCTTCTCAAGAACCAAATTTTAGTAGACTTTATTGCCTTTCTTAGTTTTATTTTTGTGCTACTAAACACAAAAAAGCCAGTTATTACTTGCTTGTCCGCATAAATGATAACCCTGGACCCCTAAATTTGAATAATCAGAAAAGCAGTTTACATTCCTTCTCAAGCATTACCCTTTTCTCTTCTAATTTTATCATATATATATATCTATCCTCTACTTCTAAAGTAGGTCCCACTAGGAAGAGATTCTTAGAAAACATTTTAAGTAATGTCCAACTCCTAGACTGACCACCTAGATTATAATTCCCCCTGGGCTCCTCACTAACCTTTCTGATACTAACTCACCTGGGTAGCTCTGGTATAGAGATTCTTCCTCCAACATCCATGGCTCCTTTCCTTCTTCCAACTTTAAGATCACCGATGGCTTTTTAATGAGATACCCTGTAAAAGGAAAAACGACACAGTGTGGACATGGGCTACAGCAATTCTAAAGGAGAGAGGAGATAGAATTTCCAGAGCTTACACCTTGATGATGCTCATTTAAACCTTCACAGGATGTGAGAATACAAAAATTGTTCCTTGTGCTCAAAAGAGATTAACAACCTCAGACTCCTGAAGCAAAGTTTAACAATATTAAGACCAAAAGTTTTGGTTATCTAAGAAATAAAATGCATGCTATACAAAATCTGATGTGAAAACTGCTTACCCACTGAGACAAAGTTGTGGTAGTTCTCCAGCATCACATCCTTGTACAGGGTCCTCTGAGCAGGGTCTAGGTGCTGCCACTCCTCCTGGGAGAAGTCCACAGCCACATCTCCAAATGACAGTGACTCCTGGAACAGCACATTTCTGCTCAGTCTGAAGTGGTCACAATTGGGGCGCACAGAAAGAAATATGGAAACAAATTCTTCCCAGGTTCACTGTTGAGAATTGATGTTACAATATGCCTACTGTGTACATTATCTTGTATCAGGTTTTATAGAAGAAAAGTAAAAGAACATTCTGCTTATTTTCATTTATTAATGCTCTACACCTTGGATGTTGTGAATACTAAGGAGAATAAAACACTGCCTTGTTCTCTAGAATATTAAATACTACACAGACACAACACAATCCAAAATTGAAAATAAGATATTACTAGAACATATTAGAATATGTAAAAAGTAGGGGCGCTTGAGTGGCTCAGTCGTTAAGGGGCTGCCTTAGGCTCAGGTCATAATCTCAGCATCCTGGGATCAAGGCCCGCATTGGGCTCCCTGCTCCGCGGGGAGCTTGCTTCTCCCTCTCCCACTCCCGCTGCTTGTGTTCCCTCTCTCGCTGTCTCTCTGTCAGATAAATAAATAAGATTAAAAAAAAAAAGAATATGTAAAAAGTAAAGAAAATGTAAAATGTATACTGGAGTCAGAAAAGAAAAGAAAGATTAACTATTTCGTATCACAACTTCTGCTTAATTGAAGAGTTAAAGCTGTAGGGCTGAAATGTGAGTGTGAAACTCCTTCAGACCGCAGACATGGAGGAGACTTGCACCTTCTCACAGGCGTCTTTTCTTTTCCTCCCTCCCTCCCTTTTTTTTTTAATTTACTTATTTATTTTACAGAGGAGAGGAGGGGCAGGGGGAGAGTGAGTCTCAAGCAGATTCTGCACTGAGCACAGAGCTCCCCACAGGGCTTGATCTCATGCCTCTGAGATTATGACCTGAGCCAAAACCAAGAGCAGGATGCTCAACTGACCGTGCCACCCAGGCGCCCCTTTACAGGCTTTTTCTCTGTGAACCCCACTGGGCATTTACTCTATTCCTTGAGGGAGGGCAGAATTACGCACTGAGTCTACAAGTATAGCTGGGTGCCGGGGGGGGAGGGGCAAGAGAACCAAGAAGGACACAGGACAGACATAAGGACACAGAGCAGGGCGCCTAAGTGGCTCAGTTGTTAAGCATCTGCCTTCCGCTCAGGTCATGATCCCTGGGATCCTGGGATCGAGCCCTGCATCGGGCTCCCTGCTCAGTGGGAAGCCTGCTTCTCCCTCTCCCACTCCCCCTGCTTGTGTTCCCTCTCTTGCTGTCTCTGTCAAATAAATAAATAAAATCTAAAAAAAAAAGGGTGGGGGGAAAGGGCAGACCTAACACTGAAGCTATATTGGAGAAGACAACACATTCTGCCCACAACTTCTCACCACCAAGCTAACAAGCTTAGAATTACAAGTACCAATAGAGTATTGCTGACAGAAAGACAGGAGATAAATAAAAGCATGTAAAGAGACCCTCTCTGAGACACAGAGCAAAGAGAACCCTTAAAACTCAGAAATGAACAGAAATAGCTCTGGTAAATGAACCTGTATCCTAAAACACAAGGTATCTCTACAGAAAGTCAAAGTCTATGCCGCATTGAGAGTAGTAACAGAAAAATAACTCTCAAATCCTGCCAAACTCCTAACTAGTTAAACCCCTGGACTAAAGGCCTAGCAGGAAATTACCCATTTCCAGCAATAAAACAGTTACCCCAGTTCAGAATATGACACAAGATATATACATTTCAACGAAAAGTTACAAACCATATGAAAAGGAAAGAAACTAACAAAATACTACCAAGATACAGAGTAACCATCAGAAACAGATATTCCATAGATGTCGAAACCATCCAACAGAATTTGAATTATAACTAATTATGTTAAAGACTCTTAAGGTATGTTAAGACTTAAAAAATTTTTTTTTCTTTTTTTTTTGGGTAAGACTATGTTTTATTCATTCCACTGAAAATCCAAAGCTGTTTCATGGCGCCCACCCTGGACCCCGAGTCCTCGTGGGGCCCCTTCAGTCCCCACCTCACACAAAAAGGATTTACCTCCCAAACTATATACATTCACAGTTGGGAATACCACTGACACTAAGTCGCTGTGCAGAAGAGGATCAGGAGGAGTAAACATCCATTCCAAATCTGTTTATCAGGGGTTTTTTCCTGAAAATGCCCAGCGGTACTTCATTCAAAAAGCCCTTCATCCACAGACGCCAAGGCCGGGAGCCGCGAGCTGGACCCTTCCCTCAGAATATCTTAGCTTATTTACCTTCACTTGTATGACATGCAAAATCAAATGGATAATTTCACTTGTATGACATGCAAAATCAAACGGATAATTTCAGCAGAGAACCAAATGGAAGTCTGGAAATGAGAACACAGTAACAGATGAAAAACATCTTCAACAGGCTGATCATCAATCAGCACAGTTAAGGAAAGAATCAATGAACTTGAAGATGGGTCAAGAAAAATTATCCAAACTGAAACTTAAGGAGAAAAAAAGTGAAAAATAGAACAGAACATTAAAAAGCTGTGAAATAGGGGTGCCACGGTGGCTCAGCCAGTTAAGCAGCTGCCTTCAGCTCAGGTCATGATCCTGGAGTCCTGGGATTGAGCCCTGCATTGGGCTCCTTGCCCAATGGAGAACCTGATTCTCCCTCTGCCCCTCACCCCTCTCAACGCTCTCTCTTGTGCACGTGCTCTAATAAATGAAAAAAATCTTAAAAAAAAAGTTGTGTAATCTGTGAAATACAATAAAATGTTCCGACATATACATAATTTGGACGTGGGGAGGGGGAAGAATGGGACAGAGGAAACACTTTCAGAAATAGTGTCTTAAAATTACTTGCAACTGGGCTGCCTGGGTGGCTCAGTCCGTTAAGCAACCAACTTTTAATTTCAGCTCAGATCGTGATCTCAGGGTTGTGGGATTGAGCCCCACGTTGGGGTCCCCATGCAATGGAGAATCTGCTTGCGATATTCTCTCTTGTCCCTCAGAGCCCCCCCCACCGCCCCAAAGATAAATAGATAAATCTTAAAAAAAAAGTTGCAATTAATGACAGAAAGCAAACCAAAAATCCAAGAAGTTCAACAATACCAAGCTGCATTAATGCCTCCCAAAAGCATAAAGACACACAACATATTAAAACTGCTAGAGAGTGAGAGATTGAGAATGAGAATCCTGAAAGCAGCCAGTGAACAAGAAAATATTACAAAAAAGGAATAAAGATACAATTAAAGCAGACTTTTTACCAGGAACCATATAAACTAGAACACAATAAAATGACGTACGTAAAATGTTAAAACAAACATGTTATAATCACAGCACAAAAGGAACAGTTTGAAAAGCACCTGGGTATATTTCAAGATTTACTAACTAATTTGAAAATGTGTGCAGGAAGTGCTGGGATCTACAAAAGCTTTCTCCAGAAACAACGGAGCTGGAGGGCACTATTTTCCTTGCCCTCCCAAAGCCCAGCCAGATGCTTACAGAGCCAGTGCAAACACTCTCCATCTACCTTTCTAGCACAATGTGCCCCACTCCAGTGCTGCCCCACCTAACCCACCCTGGGTTTCGTGCTCCTCCAAAGTGGTTTCCACCCCACCATAGCTGGTGGGCAGCCCCAGCAAGGCAGGTGCCTCTCCAATGTGATTCAAGGCCTGAGCAGGAGGGGAGCTAATCCCACACACCAATGCGCTGAGACTCTCAGCTGGCTCAGCACGGAGCAAGTGCTGCCCATCAGTGCGCCCAAGCTGTCCCAGTGGCTAAGTGCAGACAACCAGGCTGAGAGCAAGGCTTGCACACCAGTGTGCACGCAGCAGGCAAAGGAGGTCATTACAGGTAGCTAAGCTGAGGGTAAGATACAACTACCAGCATGCCCACAGCAATCGTGGCTCAGCAGCAATGCAATACTCTTGAAGCATCTGGTTCTGGTGACCAGGGGGACTGCATTACCGGGAACAGGGTTCCTCCTACACAAGGTGAGTACTTTCAAGACCAGTATACATAGCTGACCTACTTAATACACAGAAACAGAGAGGTAGACAAAATGAGGAGACAGAGGAACATGTTCCAAATGAAAAGAACAAGACAAAACCAAAAAAAGAGCTAATCAAAATAAACATAAGCAATATGCCAGATAGAGTTCAAAGTAATGGCCATAAAGATACTTACTAAACTCAACAGAAAAGTGGATGAAGTGACTGAGATCTTCAACAGAGAGATATAAAAGATAGAGAAGAACCAGCTGGAACTGAAGGACAGAATAAAATGAAAAATATACTAGAATACTTCTTCAACAGATTGGAGGATGCAGAAGAATGGATCAGCAATCTTGAAGATAGAATAATGGAAAGCAACGAAGCTAAACAGCAAAAAGAAAAAGCTACATTAAAAAATGAGGTAGGTTAAAAGACCTCTGTGACCTCATCAAGCCAAGTATCATTTGGATTATAGGGGTACCAAAAGAAAAGAGACACAAGGAAGCAGAAAAATTATTTGAAGAAATAACAATTGAAAACCTCCCTAACCTGGAGAAGGAAACAGACATCTAGGTCCACAATGCACAGAGGGCCCCAAACAAGGAGAATTCAAGGAGGTCAAAACCAACACACATAATTAAAACAAATAAGATTCAAGATAAAGACAGAATCTTAAAAGCAGTTACACACAAGGGAAACCCCATAAGGCTATCAGCTGATTTTTCAGCAAAAACTTTACAGGCCAGAAGAGAATGGTATGATATAGTCAAGGCGCTGTAAGAAAAAAAAAAAAAAACTACAACAAAGAAAGGCCATTATTCAGAAGTGAAGAACAGATAGAGTATCCCAAACAAACAAAAGTTAAAGGAGTTCATCAAACAAGCTTTAAAAGAAATAATAAAGGGACTCCTTTAAGTGGAAAGAAAAGGCCACAATGAGAAGAAAATTAAGAAGGAAAAAATTTTCACTGGTAATAGTAAATGTATAGTAAAGGTAGCAGATTATCACTTATAGAGCCAATATGGAAGTTAAAAGTAGTAAAATCAATTATATCCACAAAAATTACTCAAGGGATACACAAAAAGATATAGAATGTGACATCATATACGTAAAATGTGGAAGAGGAAGTAAAAATTTAGTGCTTTTATAATGCGTTCAAACTTAAGCAACCTTCAACATTATATAGATTATCATACACACGGGATATTGTATATGAATTCCATGAACCACAAACTGAAAATCTGTAACACATGCACAAAAAAAGAAAGGAATCCAAACATAAGACTAAAAAAACCATCAAACTACAATGGAAGAGAGTAGAAGAAGAATAGAACAGAAAACAATTATTAAAACAGCAGTAAGTACATACCTATCAATAATTACTTTAAGTGTAAATGAACTAAATGTTCCAATCAAAAAACACAGGGTGATGTAATGGATAAAAAAACAAGATCCATCTATATGCTATCTAAAGACACAGACAGACTCAAAGTAAAGGAATGGAAAAAAATATTCCAAACAAATGGAATAATCATTAAAAAAAAAACAGAACAAAACAAAACAAAACCCAGGGGATATCAAAATCAAACAGAATAGACTTTAAAATGAAGATGGTAACAAAAACCAAAAAAGCAGGATCAATCCAACAAGAGGATATAACAATTGAAAATATATACTCACCCAACATAAACAGAATTCAAATTCACGAGGCAGTTATTACCATATGAAAAGAGAAATTGACACTAATACAATAATGGTAGGAAACATTAACAATTTGCTTACATCAATGCATGGATCATCCAAACAAGAAAGCAATACAGAAACAGTGGCTTTGAATGACCCATTAGTTCAGATGGACATAATAGATATCTATAGAACACTCTACCCACAAACTGCAGAACACACATTCAAGGGCATATGGAACATTCTCCAGGATAGATCACATGCTAGACCACAAAGCAAGTCTCAATGAATTAAAGATGACTGAAATCATATCAAACATCTCTTCCAACTACAACAGGAGAAAACTAGAAATCGGTTACAAGAAAAAAACTAGAAGAAATACAAATATGAGAATCTAAATCTAAACCTAGGGGCACCTGGGTGGCTCAGTCGTTGGGCGTCTGCCTTTGGCTCAGGTCATGGTCCCAGGATCCTGGGATCGAGCCCCGCATCGGGCTCCTTGCTTAGTGGGAAACCTGCTTCTCCCTCTCCCACTCCCCCTGCTTGTGTTCCCTCTCTCGCTGTGTCTCTGTCAAATAAATAAAATATTTTAAATAAATAAATAAATAAATAAATAAATCTAAACCTAAATAACATGTTACTCAACAACAAATGGGTCAATGAAGAAATCAAAGAGAAAATCAAGAAATATCTGGAGAGAAATGAAAATGAAAACACAACAGTCTTAAATCTTGGAGATGCAACAAAAGCAGTACTAAAGGAAATTTATAGTCATCAAGACCTACATCAAAAACAAGAAATAACTCAAATAAATGATCTAACCTTACAACGAAGGGAACTAGAAAAAGAAAAAACAAAACCCAAAGTTAGCACAAAGAAGGAAATAACAGAGGGGTGCCTGGGTGGCTCAATCGGTTAAGCATCTGAGTCTTGACTGCAGCTCAGGTCATGACCTCAGAGTAGTGTGCCCTGTGTTGGGCTCTGCGCTCAGCAAAGCCTACCCTTGAGAGTCTCTCTCTCCATGTCCCCCTGTAGCTCTCTCCCCCGGGCTGTCTCTCTCTAAAATAAATAAATCTAAAAAAAAAAAAGAGAGAGAGAGAAGGAAATAATAGAGATCAGAGCAGAAATAAATGAAATAGAGATGAGAAAAAAGAACAGATCAATGAGGCTAAGAGCTGGCCCTCTGAAAAGACAAATTAGCCAGACTAATCAAGAAAAAAAGTGAGAGGATGTAGGAAACAGAACGCCACAACGACCACTGGTGCAGGTTCGCTCAGACTCCGAGATCGATGAGAAAACTCGAGATTGCAGGGTTAAAAGTAACCCGAAAGGACCGGAGTGAAATGCCCTTGGAACATGTGTGCTCAGTTCTAAAGTCTGCAGCAGAAGATGTCTTGTAGATAGGAAGCCAGCTGTGAACAGCACACTGTGCACTCCCCTCTTTGTTCCCTTGTCCTGTAAATTCTGTTTTAAAGGTTCTTACGTACTTAACTAATCCTGTACACGTGGAGGAATGTGCCTTACTACACCCCTGCTGTAGAAGGTATATAAGAGCATGGAAAATAAACCTCGGCACCTCAGGCTGTTAGCTCAGGGTCCCCTGCGCCTTGCTATACTGTCGTCTCTTTCTCAGTTCCTTTGCCGCCCCAGGTCCCTGACTCTCAGAGGTCGACAAGAGGACTCAAACATAATGAGAGAGGATTAGTTAAAATTGACACCACAGAAGTACAAAGGACTATAAAAGATTACTATAAAAAATTACATTGGTAAAACCTAGAAAAAAAATTGACAATCCAGAAAAAATGGATAAATTTCTAGAACACATAGTCTCTTCTGAGACTGAATCATGAAGAAACAGAAAAATCTGGGGAAAAAACACAATTACTAGAAATAAAATTGAACTGGTAATCAAAAACCTCCCCACAAACAAAAGTCCAGGACCAGATGGCTTCACAGGTGAATTCTACCAAAGATTTAAGGAAGAGTTAATACCTATCACTCTCAAACTATTCCAGAACACAGAAGAGGAAGGAATGCTTCCTAATTTATTCTATGAAGTCAGCATTACTCTGATAGGAAAGCCAAAGACACTATAAAAGAAAATTACACACCAATATCCCTCAGGAAGAGAGGAAAATTCTCAACAAAATATTAGCAAACCAAATCCAACAATACATTAAAAAAATCACTCACTGGGATCAAGTGGGATTTATTCCAGGAATGGAAGGATGGTTCAATATACACAAATCAATCAATGTCATATTCAATGGTGAAAAGCTGAAACCTGTTACCTAAGATCAGGAACATGACACTCTTAACCACTTTTATTCAACATAGTACTGGCATTCTTAGCCATAGCAATCAGACAAGAAAAAGAAATAAAAGGCATCTGAATTGATAAGGTGCAAGTAAAACTGTGTTTGCAAGTAGAATCATACTATACATAGAAAAACCTAAAGACCCCACCAAAAAACTATTAGGTCTAATAAATGAACTCAGTAAAGTTGTAGGATACAAAATTAATATACAGAAATCTGTTCTGTTTCTATACACTAATAACAAAATAGCAGAAAAAGTAATTTTTAAAATACCATTAACAACTGTATTACAGAGCATAAAATACCTAGGAATAAATTTAACTTAAGAGGTGAAAGACTTGTATTCTAAAAATTTAAGATATTAATGAAAGAAATTGAAGCCAACACAAATAAATTGAAAGATATATTACCCTCATAGATTGGAAGAAGCAATATTGTTAAAATTAAAATGTCCATACTACACAAAGCAATCTATAAATTGCAGCCTATAGAGCTGCAATCCCTATCAAAATACCAATAGTGTTTTTCACAGACTAGAACAAAAAAGTCCTAAAATTTGTATGGAACCACGAAAGGCCTCAAATAGCCAAAGCAATACTGAGAAAGAAGAACAAAGCTTGAGGTATCACAATACTAAATTTCCAGAAATACTACAAAGTTACAATAATCAAAACAGTATGGTACTGTTGCAAAAATACACATACAGGTCAATGGAACAGAACTGTTTGAGTCTTTATGCACACATGAAGAGAGGGAGAGAGAACACCAATTAATCTATGACAATGGAGGCAAGAATATACAATTGAGAAAAGACACTCTCTTCAATAAATGGTGCTGGGAAAACCGGACAGCTACATGCATTAAGAATGAAACGGGGCCACTTTCTTACACTATAGACAAAAATAATCTCAAAATAGATTAAAAACCTAAATGTAAAACTTGAAACCATAAAATTCTGAAAAGAAAATACAGATAGTAATCTCTTGGATATCATCAACCTTTGCAATACTTTTCTGGATCAGTCTCTTCATGCAAGGGAAACAAAAGCAAAAATAAACAGGAATACATTAAACTGAAAAGCTTTTGCACAATGAAGGAAACCATCAACAAGATGAAAAGGAAACCTAATGAATGGGAGAAACTATCTGCAAATGACATGTCTGAGAAGGGGTTAATATCGAAAATATATAAAGCATTCACACAAACATCAAAAAGCCCCCAAATAATCCAATTAAAAAAGTGGGCAGAATGGTGGGAAAGTAAGTGTTGCCCCCACTATGAAAAACAGTATGGAGGTTCCTCAAAAAATTAAAAATAGAACTATATGACCCAGTAATTCTTCTACTGGGTATTCACACAAAGAAAACAAAAGTAAGAATTCAAAAAGATATATGCACCCCTGTTTTTATTTACAACAGCCCAGATATGGAAGCAGCAATAGTGTCCACCGATAGATGACCGGATAAAGATGTAATATACATACACAATGGAGTATTACTCAGCAATGAAAAATTAGAGCTTGCCATTTGTGACATGGATGAACCTAGAGGGTATTATGTTAAGTGAAACCAAAGACAAATACCATATGATTTCATTTGTATTTCACTTACATTTGGAATCTAAAAAATAAAACAAATGAGCAAACAACAGCAAAAGAGAAACAGACTCATAACAACAAAAAAGAGAGTAACAGACCCATAAACACAGACAACAAACTGGTGGTTGCAAAGAGTACAGGGGAGGGGAGAGTGGGAGAGATTAGTGAAGGAGATTAAGAAGTACAAACTTCTCAATTATAACATAAATAAGTCACAAGGATGAAAAAGTACAGCATAAGAAATATAGTCAAGGGGCACCTGGGTGGCTCAGTCATTAAGCGTCTGCCTTCGGCTCAGGTCATGGTCCCAGGGTCCTGGGATCAAGCCCCCCCATCAGGCTCCCTGCTCAGCTGGAAGCCTGCTTCTCCCTCTCCCACTCCCCCCTGCTTGTGTTCCCTCTCTCGCTGTGTCTCTCTCTGTCAAATAAATAAATAAAATCTTTAAAGAAAAACAAATATAGTCAAAAATACTGTAACTTACAGTGATAAGCATTTCATGTTATATAATAGTTAAGTCACTATGTTTTACATCTAAAACTAATTTAATATTATGTCAACAATACTTTAATTAAGTTAAAAAAACTTCAAAACTAAAAAACAAAAACAATAAAACCCCCCCACACACAAGAGAACTTCAACCAAGAATTATTTATTGAAAATATCTTCAAAATGAAGGAATGGGGCGCCTTGGTGCCTCAGTCAGTTAAGCATCTGCTTTTGGCTCAGGTCATGATCTTGGGTTCCTGGATCAAGCTCCATGTCTGCCTCCCTGCTCAGTGGGGAGCCTGCTTCTCCTTCTCCCTCTGCCCTTCCCCCTGCTTGTGCTCTCACTCTCTCAAATCCATAAATATTTTTTTTAAATGAAGAAACAATACTTTCCCAGAAAAACAAAAATTTAAGGAATTCTTTACCAGCCAAACTACTCTGCAAGAAATATTAAAGGAGGGACGGCTGGGTGGCTCAGTCGGTTAAGCGTCATCTGCCTTCGCCTCAAGTCCCGTATCAGGCTCCTTGCTCAGTGGGGAGCCTGCTTCTCCCTCTGCCTGCCTCTCTCTCTCTTGTTCTCTCTGACAAATAAATAAATAAAATCTTAAAAAAAAAAAGAAAGGAATAGTAAAGGAATATGGCACCAGTGAAACTTGAATCTACACATAAAAATGAAGAGTGATAGAAATGGAATAAAAAAGGAAAATTTAAGTTAATTCCTCCCTCCCCAATTTTTAAGTGTTCTAAAGCAAAGGTTGGAAATTTTTTTGTGCAATGAACTAGATAATAAACACTGTATTGTGAAGGTAGCCCCAAACAATACACAGAAGAAAGCATGAGGTTGTCTTCCCAGGAAACTTAATTTGTGAAAGCAGACAGGGAGCTGAATTTCACCCATGGGCTGCAGGCTGCCAATCCTTATTCTAAAGGATAACTGACTGTCCAAAGCATAAATAGTAGTATTGTATCATGTTTATATAACATATGTTAGAGTAAAATGTATGGTGCAATAGCACAGAGGATAGGAAAGAATAATTGGGAATATACTGCTGTAAGATCATTATACTATAACATCATGTGGTTTAATATTTGAAGGGAGGCTTTGATCAATTAAAAACGGGTATTATAAGTCTTTGGCTAACTATTTTAAAAGTAAAAAAAAGAGGTATAAGTAGTAAGTCAAGAAGTGCCTAGGTGGCTCAGGTGGTTAAGCGTCTGCCTTTGACTCAAGTCATGATCTCAGGGTCCTGGGATCAAGCCCCACGTTGAGCTCAGCTCATCAGGGAGCCTGCTTCGACCTCTCCCTCTGCCTGCCGCTCCCCCTGCTTGTGTGCAGGCATTGTCAAATAAATAAAATCTTAAAAAAAATAACACAGCAGCAATGATAAAATGGAATAATAGAAAAATTCAAAAGAAGAAAAAGATAAAAAGAAATAAAGAACAGAACAAACAGATAAATAGCTAGCAAAATGGAAGATTTTAATCAACTATATTGACAACCAATTTTCAAATATGAATGTTCTAATATCAGACTGGGTTAAAAAACAGGACCAATTATACACTAACTACAAGAGACTGACCTTAATTACAAAAATACGTAACTTAAAAGTAAAAAGATAAAGAAATACAACACAAACAATAATCCAAAGAAAGTTGGAGTAGCTACCTTGATATCAGACAAAACAGAATATATAATATGAGATATTATTGAAGATAAATAGGCACATTACATTAATGATAAATGGTCAATTTTCCAAGACAAAACTAAATGTACATGTACCTAACAAAGGAGCTTCAAAATATAGGAGATAAAAAATGATAGAACTGAAAGGAAAAACAGACAAAAAGTAATATAGTTGGACACTTCAATATTTCTCTCAGGAATTAATATAAGAAGATAACTGGAAAGAATACAGAAGTCCTAAACAACACCATCCCTGAACTAAACCTAAATGATGCATTTGTAGAACATGCCACCCCACAATTTTAGGGAAGTCTTTGTGTACCATTAAGAATCACGATGGGTTATTCTCCTTTTCACTGCACTTCCTATAATAATGTTTGCTATTGCTATCAGCAACAGAGGTATAGCTCAGCACTGACAACTTCAACATTAAGTACTTGAAGGTCAACTTCAACATTAAGTACCTTAAGGTCATCATCATAGCCCCTGAGCCCTGCTACTAATCTGCTACTCCATATTTCCCCCAAAGTTGACATTTATCTATTTCTACATTTACATTTTAAAGGTTACATCTTACACATAAGAACTAATGTAAAACAAAATAGGAATTAAAAAAAAAAACAACTCACCTGGCGTTTGTTCATTTTCTGCTGTTCTTTAAAAAGGCATGGAGACGTGTGAAGATACAACTGAGAAATAACAGAAGAGAGAGGAGTCATAAATGATCTTGCCTCCCTTCCAGCTCCTTGATTTACCTGCCTACAAATACGCTGCATACTGGTGGGTAAAATGCCTTTCTGTGGGCCAATGTCCTGTTGGTTCCTAAAAAGAGAGGGAATGGCCACATAGAAGTAGTGCCAATAGTCTCAAATACTTAATAACAGCCTCTCAAACAAACCCAAACAACCCCCCCGCAAAAAAAACCCTGACTTTTAGTTGCCCATTTCAGATGCATAAATACCCCTGCCATGGCCAATTACAGACTACCAACTGATGTCACTGAACAGAGCTGGGAAGAAATGTGCAATAGCATACCATTATATAGGATTTTTACCATAATGATAGATAGTCTCAAGAACACAGAAATGAGTGAAAAGAAGGAAATTACTTAGAAATCATGAGTTTTGAATATGATCACAGCCATGAGGAGCTTAAGCAGACAGCTACTAAATGTAGTGCAGGATCCTAGAAAGGAACTCAGAAGAGAAAAAAGAACATTACAGAAAAACTGAGGAAATATGAAAACATATGCACTTTACTGGTTCATTAATTGGGACAAACATACCATACTAATGTAAGATGTTAAAAATAGAGGAAATTAATGTAGGGTCTACAGAGTTGTCACTGGATGAACTGGGGAGACTCTGGGCCCTGGATCCTCAACCAGGCCCATCCCAAAAATGTCCCCAAAGGTTCCTGGTCTCATCACGAGGAAGAATTCAAGGACAGACACAACACAGTGGGGAAGTTTATTATTAAAGTGAAACTACACTCTCAAGATTTGAGAACGAGAGAGAGCAAGCAAGCGTGCTCAAGAACCGTGGGTGTTGGGAGTCTGTATTTCTCTTTTATGTACAGTTGTTAACTAGGTGGTAGAGTATTCATTATGTGGGGCGGGGATTTCTTGGAAGCAAGGGTTTTTTTCCTTCCTTATTTGGAGCTTCCTGTCATGGCACCCACCTTCGTGGGCCTATCTGGTTGGATCCAGCTTTCTTGTGACTTTGTTTTGGAGTGATGCCAGCTCAGGCCTCTGACTTTCCCCACCGCTGCCTGTGACTTCCTTGTTGATGGCCACCAGGATAGAAGCTGGATAATTGCTTTTGACAGAATCTCTGCATTATATTGACCATAATTCTTTAAGTCTAAAATCATTTACTTAAAAATTCATCAAAGGAAAATGTAAAGAATATCCACTTAATACAAAAGGCGGCAGTAAAGGAGAAACAAAAGAACAAAAAAGACATGAGCTATATAAGGAAAGCATAGCAAAATGGTGGACATAAATCTAACCAAGTCAACAGTAACATCAAATGTGAAAGGGTTAAACATAGCAGTAAGGTGTCTGATGTGGTGGGGACCCAGCTAGACCCCAAAACCTGACTTTCACAGCCTACCTGGTTGTACCCACCTCTGTCCCCCATTTGTCCTTTAGCTCTTCTTTCCAGCTTATCTCTTAAATCAGACAAATGGAAACTGAAACCACCCCTCAGGCAAGTGCCCTGACAAAACCTCCAGCCAGCCCGGACCACCCAGACCAGTTGAAGCTTCACCTCCAGACTCGCACCTGAACAGGTGCACCACGGAGCAATCTCTGGAATGACTAACAACTACCTCTACCTCATTGTAAAACTAAAATCTCCACCCAAAAATGAGCACAAGTCTCATTTACTAACATACACTGTATGTATAAGCATGTTTCCTTAAGACATATGCCTGACCTTATGCTCGCCTCTACATACAACAACAAGGCTTCCCTAACCCTAAACAAAGGAACCATCCACCCTTGCTCGGAGAGTCAGGGCTTTGGAAGTGGTTCCCCGTGATCTCCTTACTTGTTGCAAATAAATTTTGCTTCATGCAACAATCCCACCTGATGTAGTTCTAGGACACACCAAGGAGCAATCTCATGTTAGTTTGGTCACAAATTTGGCAACCCAGATGGGACCGTTGTCCCTCTGAGGTTCTGCCCTCTGGTTACCTGGTTTCCAAAGGATGGAGCAGTGAGCAGCGGCAGCCCTTCTGGGCTAACCCATTCAATTAACCAGGACTGGGGGTGGAATCCCTGGAAGGGGCTCTCCTTTCTTGGGGTCTGTGCTGCTGGACTGGTATTGCTGCCCCCTTGAAGACACTGTGGCCACTCCAAACCTCTTGCTAAGAATCTCTCCACAAAGGTAAGTGGTGCCAACCCCATGGCACGACTATAAGAGTATTTTCTTTGAGTTGTCTCACAAAGCCTGGGAGGTCGGCAGTCAGTTAACAAAAGGGCCTCTCCACTCAACAGAGGGGGACTGAACGCTCATTATAGTCAAGTCAGACATCCCTGGGTGGCAAAGGATAACACCTGGCCATTCAGAGGCTGAATGCTTTAGCGTGGCAGTTGGGAAGTGGCCAAATGACACTAGTATAGAATCAGCAAGGATGAAGGATATCTCCATTTTATGTCTGACCTGTTAATGTTTGTTGGGAACATCTGACACTGTTCCAAGTTTGTTTTATCTCTTAAAAAGGGAAGTGTGCCTTGAGTTACTGAATCTAAACCAGGTTCTCCCTGGGCCATTCCCCAAGTAAATCCTTTGGGACTACTTCGACGTTGAGGGGCCAGAAGAGGCAGCCCATGCACCAGGCCACTGCTCCTCAAGGCACAACTACCCAGACCCACTTGGACACCTTAGCATTAACCCACTCTCCTTGTGGGCTTGGTTTTAAGTCAACCGAGTCTCATACATGTTGTGGGTAAGGTTGTGTGTAACCATGAACACTGTAAGTTACCTTGAGGAAGGGTAAGAGAGCCTAAGAAAGAATCCCAGATCATGGGAGCGACAATTCCGCCCTGAAGGAGAGCCTCCGTTGGGGTGTAGCCTCCAGAAATGGAAAACGCTTGACTACCTTCCTTTAACCCAAAAACAGACGACTTTCTTCTGTAACACAGCCTGGCCACAATAATAGACTCTAGAGGATGAAGAGAAGTGGCCAGAAAATGGGACCTTAAATTTTAATACAACACTACAATTGAGCTTATTTTGTAAAAGAGAGAAAATGGGAAGAGATTCCATATGGTCAGTGCTTTATGGCATTATATCAAAACGAGGCGCTGCAAAGGAAGTGTAAGATTTGTAAAATGTAGAATTGAAAACCCTAAAAATGTGTCCTGTACCCTCTGGTGAGTCAGGGAATCTTTGTCCCCATCTCCAACTCCTCCTCCAAGTCATTAAATCGTTAATAAGCCTCTGCCTTATTCCTCTGGTACTCAGGCCTCAGCTCCCCCACCTTCATGAGCACCAATCTCTAATCCTTTACAAACACCCCCAAAACCTTCCCCAGTGTCTCCTGTATCCCTTTAGCCTCCCTTGTCAGATAGCACTACCAGATTAGGGACGTATTTTAAGCCAGGGATGGAAATGTTGCCATTGAGACGAGTACCTGATGGAGATGGGTGTCTCATTAATGTGCATGTCCCATTTTTGACCTCGGACCTGTATAACTGGAAGGCACACACTAAAGGGCTACGGGCTGACCTGATTAATTTATACGTTTAATGCAGAATATCTTTTCTACCCACAACCCGTCTGAGCAGATATGCAAGCTTTGCTAACCACTCTCTTAACGGTAGAAGAAAAGTTTGCTGTGTTAGCAGGAGTCAGACAGGAAGCTGATAAAGAGTATCAGCCAGGATCAAGTTTTTGGTGACTAAACGAGGAGGCAGCGCTAAGAGCTGACTCTGAGGGGGATCCCAACTCCCACAATGAAATAGAAAGTTTAGGGCATTACTGACTGCTTCTTTTAAAAGCTTTGAAGGAGATACGTAGATCTCCTGGTCCAAATTAAGGGAGATTCAACAAAGGACAGATGAAAATCCATCAGCCTTTTCGGAAAGGCTACAAAACTCCCTAAGATGAAATATAAACTGGGACCCTGAGGCTCAGGGTAGTTGAATGGTCCTTAATAATCTATTTCATATCTCAAACTGCTCCAAACATCCAAAGGAAACTCCAGAATGGGCTATAAGTCCCAATACTAACCCTGCTCGGCTTCCAGAACTAGCTTTCAAGGTGTTCCATAACCAGATGTGATGGAGGACCTAAGAGAAGACCAGAAGATGAGAAGGCAAGCTGCTCTTTTGGTGGTAGCTCTCCAGCCTACATGAAGTAACCTGGAAGAGGAAAAGAAGACATCCATGGGTGAGTGCCGAGCCCCCTCCGTGGGACCAAAAGACCAGCAACAAAGCTGGGGTCCAATCAATGTGCACATTGTAAGCAGGAAAGGCACTGGAAACAGAACTGCCTGAACCACTCCCGGAACAGAAGGAAGAAGGGCAAAGCGGACTCATTTCAGCTGTTGTCCCTAACTGAAAATGAAATATGACAGGGCCACAAGGCTCCCCAGTTGGTCTTGGACCATTAGATCCTCATCTCCCGAAAGAAGCCCTGAGTAACCTCTCAGCAGTAGGAGTGAAGCCAGAAATTTTACTTGATACTGGAGTTAATTTCTCTGTACTCAACACCCAGAAGGGTAGTCTTTCTAACAAAAATTGTAATATGAAAGGAATCTCAGGAAAAGAAGACATCAAAAGGTTTCTGGATCCTCTGACTTGTGAAATAGGATCAAACATTAAAACACTCTTTTTGGTATGTGCCAGAATGTCCCATATTCTTTTAAGATGAGATATTTTAGACAAATTGGGGCCCACAGTAAGTTCAGAACACAACAAATTAGCAATTCAAATCCCTAAATTCCAAGGAACTGAATTTATGTCATTATTACAACATATCCTAGTATTTAAAACAGGAAATTCCCCCCAAAAAAATCTTAAGGCAAGTCAACCCGAAAGTCTGGGTGTGAGGGCAGGTGGGGGCATGCCATTAACAACACATTTGTAAAAGTAAAATTGAAACAGATAGATTGCTGGCCCCAGATGCTATACAAGGGATCCACCCAGTAATTAACAAGCCCTTAAATGTGATTAACAGGTTGATTAGGTCATGTAGATCCCCATGTAACACCCCAATTTTACCTATTAAAAAGCTGGGAAGTGAGGAATACAGATTTGTTCAAGGCCCGGGAGCTGTTAATGAAGCCGCTTGAGACATACAACCTGTAATACCCAATCCCTATACTCTATGACCAACTACCGAGTGACAGTAAATATTACATGGTGTAAGACTGAAAAGATACCTTTTCCTGCATCCCACTAGATCCTAAATTCCAAGTACTATCTGCTTTTGAGTGGGAAGATTTTATCTATTTAATTTCAGAGGGAGAGAGAACGTGCGAGTGAGCAGGAGGGAGAGGGAAAGGGAGAGAATCTCAAGCGGACTCCTCGCTGAGCACGAGCACGACAGGAGGCTTGCTCCCATGACCGTGAGATCATGACCTGAGCTGAAGTCAAGAATCCACCGCTTAAGTGATTGAGCCACCCAGGTGCCCTGGGCTTTATTATTTCAAGAGGACAGTGAAGCCTCCCTCAAGAGAGAAAAATGGTAATATGGAGTTAGCTCCACCAAAAACCCATACTGAGTCTTCCCACTGGGTAAAAAGAGCCTCAAAACTAATTCTGCTTGGTGTTGGATTGGCTGTCGGAGTAGATGCCTCTTGGGGAGGTTTTATAGGTTATAAAGTCATTGCAAGGAAACTAACTGATGTCATAGAAACCTTAACTAAAAACACAGAAAATGCCCTCAAAAACTTAGAAATTTCCCTAAACGCTTTAGCCAACGTAGCACTAGACGATGATTAGCCCTAGACTACTTATTACCGGAAGGAGGAGGAGCATGTGCAGTAACAAACAGCTCATCCTGTACCTGGATTAATACTTCAAGTGACGTGGAAATAGATATTAAAAATATCTTCAACCAGGTAGCCTGGCTACATACTTTAAACCAAAAAGGAAGATCCCCTATGAGGTCTGCAGGCTTTTAAAATAGCGTTAACCAATACTACATGATTTCTCCCCGTCCTGAGGCCACTAATATTCCTACTGCTCTTAGATTGCTGTTTAGACTTTGCATCATTAACTGACTAATACAATTTTATACAAATGCCTAGAGGCCAAAAATTACAGATGGTAGTAACATAAAAATAGGAGCAGCTTAGAGTTAAACCTAGTGACCCACAGACATATCTAAAACTGGGTGAGGGAAAATTCTGCTCTGCTAACAATCTCAGTGACTACATCCGTGTCTGGCAGGAACTACAGAAGGAGGACCTTTGCCCTGTGCCCCTCAAGAATGAGCAGCAGAATAAAACTAGAGGAGGGATTTGTCACCTGCTAGACCCCAAGACTGGACCTTTTACTGCCCACCTGCTTGTATTCACTGACCTCTGTCCGACATTTTTCCTTAACCTCTTCTTTCCAGCTTCTCTCTTAACTCAAGCAAATGGAAACCAAAATCACCCCTCAAGCAACAGCGACTGCCTGGACAAGGCCTAGACCACCCAGACCAGTTTGCGCTTAACCCCTGACTCTCACTTGCACAGGTACGACCATGAAGTGACCTCTAGAATGACTACAACTTTTACCTCATTACAATACTAAAATCTCCGCTCAAAGAGCACACAAGCACCACTAACATAACATAGAATGTATGTATGTACCGGCATGTTTCCTTAAGAAACCACCTTATGCCTCCTCTACATACAATGACCTAGATCCCCTTTCTAAATATTCATCCCCTCCCTAAATACAAGGAACACATCCACCATCTCAGGGACTGATGGCTTTGTAAGTTATTCCTCATGATTTCCTTATCTGCTGCAAATTTTCCTTTGCATGACAACTGGATCTGGTATAGTTTGTGTCTGTGACTCGCCAAAGTGCTAACTCAGGTTAGTTCGGTTACAGTGGCACCTCAACAGGAAAACAAAGAATTGCCATGCTATGCTCTGCAGTTCTAGGATCTATCCCTTTCTGGGACTATCTCCATTCTGAAACTCTGGAGAGGGATCAAAAGTCCCTAGGGTTCTCTTCAGGATGAGATTTCTGTTTCTGAAATTGCAGCTCTTTATAATCTCACAGGAGCCCATAGGTTCCCTGGAAATTAGGATATAAGATTAGAGGACAGGGGCGCCCAGGTGGCTCAGCTAGTTAAGTGTCTGACTTCAGCTCAGGTCATGATCTCAGGGTCCTGGGATCCGGCCCTTAGTCAGACTCCCCACTCTGTGGGGCGTCAGCTTCTCCCTCTGCCCCTCTCCCAG